CCCCCATTTTTTTTTTTTTTTTTTTAACAGGGCCATAGAGGCCGACGTGTGATGGCCTCGCGCGTGCGTTATTTTCCCGCGCGCGCCCCCGCCTAGGCCTGGGGCAGCTGCGTGGAAACTCGGTCGCGAGTCCACGGTCGGCCTCCTCGGCCGCCTCCTAGGCCACAGGATCCGCGGCCTGGGGTGTCACGTAGCCTACGACGTTGACACAAGTCTGGGCCTTTTTGAGACTGGCCTCATACTGTCGTCGATTTATCCAGGGTTTTGCAGCAATCACCCGACCTCTAACGAATCTTCTATGGAAGGACAAACTGCTGAGTTGGGACCCCGAGTGTGAACGAGCCTTTGTCACCTTAAAGGAGGCTTTGGCCAAAACGCCTATTTTGATTCGGCTTGACCCAGGGAAACAATTTATACTCATTACGGATTGGTAGCCCGAAGCAATCTCCGCCATTTTGGCTCAGAAGGGGAAAGACGGCCTCGAACAGGTCATCGAGTACGCTTCGCGAACGGTAGCGAACGAGAGAAGAAACGATTCGGCTCCTCAGGGAGAGTGCTACGAGGTTGTCTGGGGGATTCAACACTTTCATCCGTACTTGTACGAACAAAAGTTCCTCCTTGTTACGGACCATGAGCCCCTGCTGACTCTTAAGAGGCTTACCAACTACACGAGCATGATCGGACGTTGGGCTGTGCGACTGCAAGAATACGATTTCGATATCGTCAACCGGAAGACAGAGAAGCACGGTAACGCTGACGGGCTGACACGATTGTATTGGCCTAGCAGGGTGGCCAAGGGTGAAGAGATCACACCGTGGAAGGGACTGGAACCAACCGGCGAGCCCTCGTACGGCCAGGTGGCCATCCTCCCTCGGACCTCCAAGAAGTCATCGGTGGACACGATGGCGATGGAGCATGGAGGTAATCCCGAAGCTCCTCTTCCTCTTCCTCTTTCCTTTCCTTGCCCGACAAATTTTGCTACTTTTGCAAAGCAAGGTCGAAGGTCTACTGGGTCCCTATCCATCCTAGCGAGGAGGGGTATGTCGAGTGGGTAGACTGTCAGCGATGTGTCTCCCGAGCTCACGGTTCATGCATCCAGTATAAAAATGCGGGTAAATCCTGGTTATGTCCCTTGTAACGCACATATAAAATTCCGACAGAAGCTCGATTTCTCAAAGCCACTTCAGAAGGGTTGGAAAAGACCCGACGATTTAAAAGGGTCGAAATATGGACAAATGTCGTTTTATAGCGACGGTGGTTGGGAACTCCCTCCGAGACTTCACTAAGGAGGATCGGAGGAGGGCCAATGAGAGGGCACGAGAGTACCGATGGAATGAGGGACGATTAGAAAAGCGGAAGACGGACGGTAGTGGGATTTGGATGTATGTGCCTCATTCGTTCATGAGATATAACTGGGTCAAGTCGACCCACGAGGAAACGGCAACCCACTTCGCCGTCCGAATCACAGAGGCGACCATTGATAAAAACGAATGGTATTGGACTAATATTCGCGACGATGTTAAATTCATCGTCCGAAACTGTCCCGTCTGTGTCGCCGACAAGGCGCCGATTCAGCCGCCTAGATCGATAGTGCCCATTGTAGTTGAACGACTGTTCCAAAGGGTTAGCATGGATACCAAAGATATTGTCGTGCCCCCTTAGACCAAATAGATGCAAATACTCACTTCTTTTGGTATTTGTGGACCACTTTTCGAAATGGATAGAGACGTATCTTTGTAAAACGCGATAAGCGGCAGAAATCGTGAGTATGTCAACCGTTTTCTCGGGATGCATCAGGACACCGAGGAAATCTTGACTGAAAATGGGGCAGAATTCCGAGGGGAAGTCTTGAGGAGTCTGGTCCTACACAGTGTCTCGATCCTCAATACCGCTCCCCATATGTCGCAATCAAACGGACTAGTAGAAAACGCCAACCAGGTAATCAAGACAGCATTACGACGTAATATCGCGGCCAAGGATATAAGGCCTTGGCCCGATATCGTCGACCATATCCTAGCTATTCATCGAGGGACACCCCACTAGTCTACCGGTCTGACCCCCTTCCAATTACACACCAATAGCATGACATGTGTAGCCCTACCGAGCCTGAATGATGAAACGACCCTTCCGCGACGGACCACTAGAGCAACGGTCAAAGACAAGGCCCAATGCCACCTGGAATTAATGGAAAAGACCCTCCCCTAGCTTGCCCGAAAACGACAAAGAATGACTGAAATGGCCCACAAACGACAGGTCCGGAGCTACGAGGCCCGAAATGGGAACGCTAGACCACGGCCCCAGTATAAGTTAGGGGACATAGTGCAGGTGAGGAAATGTGCTCGCCAGGGTAAGCTACCGCCACGATTCTTCGGGCGATTTCGCGTGGTCGAGCTCGGTCCTAGCGGAGTAAACATTGTGCGGTTCACACCTGGGGTATCGGGAAGTCGATCGGCTCGTCCGATCATTCGACACGTGTCCTACCTTCGCCCTCTCCCATCTTCCCTTTCTCTCCCATCCTCCACGTCGTCCCTCGACAGCGAAGAGGAAAACGATCATCTGAACTACCTTGATCCTTCTTCTTCTGAGCCCTCATCTCCCACGCCATCGCCATGAGCTTTTCCACCGAACAGGTCATCAGCGAGCGGCTAATGGTACCCAGGGGAGCCATCTCTGCAATCCGGCAAGTACAACATCCTTGATTGAGTCCAGATCTTCTCTGATTCACGACCTTCTTCAATACAACGGCCATTCACGCAGCGGCGGAATTCAGATTCACTCAGTCCGGGGCATCACGTGTATTGGCCGAGGTGTTGGCCTTCTTACGACTGTCTCCACCTGGCGAGAGCCACTTGTCCGTCGTTGTCGTCTTTACAGGCGACATCACGACACTGCACCCGGCGAGGCATGCCGAGATCTTCCGGTAGCTGTGGGGCTGGGCAACAGAGATCACGGCTGCATGGGTGCAATTACTGGCTCGACCGCGCGATCGTGTCGTGACAGCCAACGACATCGATCTCCAGCTTCGGGTCTCCTCCACCGCGCCTGAGGTCCTCTCGTAGCTTCGTCCTTTCGCCCGGCCTCAATGAACTGTTACCGCCTCTCACCTTCGGCCTTCCATCCGACACTCCCTCGTTTTGGCAGTCTGCGCTGGACTCCGCTATATCCTTCATAATTAGGCAGCTGGACGTGCCGATTCTGGGCGCGGCCAAGTGGGAATAGTGGTGGGACGCTTACGTGGCACTCAGCTTCTGCCTCCTCGAAGTCATCTTCCATTGGGCGGAGCTTGCTGAGAGAAGCGAGGAGGATGAGATCCTGGACGACGAGATGGAGTTATTGGTCATCCAGGCTTGGAGGATGGACACGGAGGGAGAGCTTTTGGGGATCCTGTTCGGGGAAGTACGAGACGACCACCTGGATTCGATCACAGACGAAGTGTTGGTGTTTTTGACCCAACTGTTGGACGACCTACCTTTGGAGATCCTCTCGCACTACGACGAAAGGCCCGGGACTGCCACACTCGCATGTACCTTGATCCCCCATCTCATGTGGTCTACGTGCACGGAGCTCGATGGAGATCATTGCTATTGTCCCTCCGAAGGCGCTTACTTGGTCATCGACGTCACTTATCTCTCCTTTTGGGATCCTCTCATCCGACGAGTGAACGTAGGAGAAACCAGTGAGGAAGCCGAAGAAGAGGAAGAAGAAGCACCCGAGGAAGAGATCGAGGAGGACGATCGTCTTCGGTACACGGAAGGAGAGGAAACGCCAGAAGAGGAAGAATCAGAGGCTGAGTCGGACGATCCCGATTATCACGAATAAGAGGACGCCGAGTTAGAAGAGGCCAGCTCGGAATGGGAGGAGACAGAGGAAGAAGAGGTGGTCCTGCCGAACTGAGCAGGGAAGAGAGAGAGGTCGTGACACAGAGAAGACGGGCGGCGGCAGAAGGCAAGCGGCCGATCGAGGAATCAGGAGGGCCACCGCCACTACTGCTACAGGGCGATCCGACGCTCAATCTGAAACTGCCACAAGAAGAGGCCGAGAGAAATGGAGGCGCCACGACAGAGGGATCGGGAAGCCGACACCGCCGAAGCTATGTTGCACGCTGGCCGCGGCCCAATTCGGCCCAGGCCACGGCCGGCGGCGTAGGCCGGGACCCCCCCGGCCGCGGCCGGTCCGACCGAGTTTTTTCGGCCTCGACCTCGGTCAATCTGGGGGGCGGTTTCCGAAGCGGGGAGCGGGTTTGAGGTGGGGGGGTGGGGGGGCACCCCCTCACAGTGTCAGAGTGTCAAAAAAATAAAAAACGGGGGGGTCCTGCGCATGGCCCTGGGAGGGTGGGCCGCAAAAATTCATGCGTCCCCCGCGTATGGGTTCGTCGATGCGAGGTCGCAGGAAAGAGGGTCTGGAACACTAGAAAAATAAAAATAAACAATTTGACCTCTGCGGGGGCGGCCCAACGGGGGTTGGAAGAGGGCTTGGTTGGGGCAGCCCGTGCGGCTGTCGGGTCGAAGTTGGACGGGGCTGCAGATGGCCAGACCCCAGGCAGATGAGGGCCTCAGGCAGGAGTCGATTTCATTCGTGAGGGTGATGACAATTCGTGACATATTTTGAAACAACACATTCATGGCAATCATAGGTCAGACCTTGGTTGGCATACCAAAGTCACAACACATTCACAATCAATCACAGTGCGGCCAACCACAAGTTTCAAACAATGTTAACAGGCAAGTGTGTCATAGACTCATAGCGTGTGTTCACTCATCAGACTGGTGGAAGTTTGTGTAAGAACACATTCATTAGCACATCATCCCTATTTGGCATATGAAATTAACAGCACATGCACAATGGAGGCATCCATGACATGCAGGTGCGTGGCATCGGAGAAACACATAATTTGCAACAATCACGACAACAAACTAAAAACCACTCACCAAACAACAGCGACTTAGATGCAAGACCAATGTTGGTAGAGGAACACGAACAAGAGCAAATATATGACAAAGCATTTCAATGGAAATGCGTATGTACAAGGCTGAAGCCAAAAACTGGACCCGTCGTCTCTACTGTACAACCGAGTAGCAAAAAAAAAACTGGACCCTATTGACAAAGCATTGCAATGGAAATGCGTATGTACAAGGCTGAAGCCAAAAACTGGACCCGTCGTCCCTACTGTACAACCGAGTAGCAAAAAAAAAAAAAAAAAACCCTAATGTCCACATACTGTCGTCGTCTCCATGGAACAACATCGACATAAATATGCAACGACCCTGCCGACAGAGCGTCCAGGCTGTACAGCCACACAAAAAACAAAAAAAACTCAAGGAAAAAAAAAAAAAAACATGGACGTCGTCATCTCCCTCCAGAGCGCGCGCGGCCTCTCACGGAGGACGGGCGGCCATGCGGTCCTCCCCGTTGCCCCCCTCTCCCTCCGGCACCTGTTCCCCGTGCTCCGCTGAGGCATGCCGCCTGTGCTGCAACGGCTGTCGCGGCCACCTGTGCCCTGTGTCTGCGAGGCGCAGTCTCGATCGGCTTGGACTCTGTGTTTGCGTCCTCGTCCTCCGCCGCCCGTGCAGCAATCCCCGTCTCTCTCTCCCTCTGAATCGCGTCCAATGCTGCCTGGCTAGCGGCGATCCCTGCCGCGAGTCGAGCGTCAACCTCCGAGAGGCCACACTGTCGTCTCGTCCCGGGACGCATGAACAACCCCTCCTCGCCCGATGTGAATTGCTTTCCCCGCAGCATGTCTGTGGATGTCCCTGCGGCCTCGAGGACCAATGATCTCCTCGTCTCCGCTTGTGACAAACCGAGCATGCGGCCTGCCATCTGCAGGCTCGGACGTCCGGACCCACCCTCTGCAGCCTGCGTCTGAACTAACATGCGTCCTGTTACGACGCCTGTCCCGGCGTCGTAATCCGCCCGCAACCGGTCCCCGCCCCGACGAACAGCTGACCATCTGCCACCCACACCACCTCGGACTGTCGGCGGGGAACCGCCATTGTGCGCAACTCCGGGTGCCACCGTCTGGTCCCCGGTGTCGACCCCGGCCTCCGGAGTCCGTGCGGGGGGTGGAGGCATCGATCCTGCACTGTCTCTGCCGCCGTCACTGCGTCTGCCGGACCCCACCTCACCCGCTCCGGACTCCCTCCCTCTCACGCCGCTGAGCGACGAACCCGACCAGTGAGGGCTCTCCACCACGAACGGCGGCGGTGAATATACCCTCCCAGGGGCCCGCCTCTTGCCGCTCTTGCGGCTCATGTGTGCGAAAGGGTCATCCGTCAACGCTTGAGCCAAAGCGTCGACGTCGAAGAAAGTGTGCGCTGTCAACAGGCGCAAGGGAGGTACTGTGGGGTCCCTCAACACCAAGGCGAGCCTATACGCATCGTCCTCGGGATCGTGGTCGTTGTCATTATCTCCGTCCGGTCCATCGTCTCCCCCAATACCCACGGTGTCCCCATCTCCACCGGGTCCACCCTCTCCTCTGCCACACATGGCGGCACCCTGTCCCTCGTCACCCGCGGTCCTGCTGCTGCCACGCCCCCCACTAGGGGACCCACCGCCCATGACAACATCCTGCCCCTCATCACCCGCGGTCTCCCCGTCATCTCGTCGTCCACCACCTGACCCACCACCCGCGGCGGCATCCTGTCCCTCATCATTGAACTCCCCCTGAACTGCCTCCTCAGGGACCCCCGAGTCGTCGACGTCACGGCCTCCCCTCCCTCCTATCTCCAATTCCCTCCGCCGACGCTGCTCGTCAAGATACGCGAACCGACCTTCCCATCGTGGCAAACTCCCCAGCCGCTCCTCCTCCTCTCGGTCCAAACGGGCATCCTTCTCCTCCTCATTCTCAACAGCGCCCTGCATAACGTCCGCGTTGGTGCGCACCTCCGACGGTGAGGCACGCCGACGTCCCTCGACACTGAAATCTCCCAAGCTCCCACCAAGCCCTACGACGTCAAAGTCGTGTGTGCGGAGCACCGACGGCGAGCGGGGGTGGATACCGGTGTCGGAAAGAGTCCTCTCCCCCCCACAATCCTCGCCGTCATGTGTCCGGTCTCTGCCTGATGCCGACGCCAACCTCTCCGAACGCCTAAGTGCCTCGGGCTGTGCAGAGCTCCGATGATCGGAGGGAGAGAAGCGACGATCGTGAAGGGGCACCCCCTCATCCTCGACCTCCTCCTCGGCCTCGTTGTCGCTCCTAACCTCCCAACGCCTGTCTGTCTGCTGAAGACCTCCCCGTGGCTGCTGCTCCCCCGAGTCGTCGACGCCAACCTCCGCATGCGAACGTCCTCCACGACCACCACCAGCTCTGCTGTTGCCACTCGCCTGTGCGGTCGACGGCACACCACCAGTGAGAACTGATGTGAATGAAACCATGCCGTCACGTCCCCCACCGTAAGTGAAGTACACCCGCTCAGCCGTCGGGTCGCCACTCAGCGGCGTGTCATCATCGTCTGTCCACTCGTCGTCGATGTTGTCGTCTGCCGCAACAGCGTCCGCATCATCCACACCCTATGGCCACGGTCGCAGCTCCGTCGCCCTCTTGCCGAACACGTCCCGAACCGAATGGGCTCTGGACGGTCGGCTGGCCTGGAAAGCGACAATCTGCCGCTGGATCTCCTGCTCGGGAACACTGCCAGCAGGTCGCGCTCCCCACACCTCGAACTCCACGTCTCCCTCCTCATCCTCGTCCTCTGCCGCCGTCCCCTCCCGACCGGTCCCCATAACCCATGGCAACACGTAGCCACCACCCTGCCGTGCGCACGAGGCCAGTTTGAGATTGGTGGTAATCTCAACCAGCTGTGCAAGCTTGGCAAACCCAAGCTTGGCGCGCCTCTCCGTGTTGATGCGCTCGTGCTGCGCCCAGTTCCGCTCTGCTGGAGAGGCAGACATCCACAAGTGCATGACACAGATGGCGATGGTGCGCAACTCCGGGTGGGCCCGTCCATGGTCAAACCACCACGCTGCACATCGCTCGGTCTCACGGTCCCCCTTGCAATCGTCCGCCTCGGCATCGGAGAGGGACCGATCTCCCCAATCACCTCGCCTCGAGTGGAAGGCCCTCATCTGGTCCCTCACGGTCCTGTACAGTCTGCCGACCGAATCGCCGTCGGTCTGCGCCAGGAGAAATCCGTCGCACTCCTCGACCACACGGGCATTGTCGGCGGTCGTCTGTAACGACTCGTAATACGTGAGGGACCGTCGACGAGGGTTGAGGAGGTGGGCCGCGGCATGTGCGGGCTCCAACATGTGGAGGTTGCGGATGGCAACCTCACGYACGCACGGCTCGATCATGTCCTCCGGCACGTCGACCCTCCTCATCAACTGCAGCACATGCTGACTCCACTCGTAAACGACGAACATCATCATCCCCCCCCTATCCATCCCGCGCAACAGCTGGTGGATGGGCGCCATGATAAGGAGGGCGTACTGGACACAACGCCAAAACTCCGCGTCCCGGATGAGCAGCTGCACCCACAGTTACATGCCTGCGCTCCCACGGGATGAGTGCCCAAGCATCCCCGTGCAACATGCTCTCCAACGCGTCTCGTCGGCCTTTGAGACACGTCAGCATCAGAAAAACCGATGCGAACCGTGTCTCAACGGGCTCGACGAGCCGAACGCGAGGGCTCACCTTCCTAAACAGGGCGTGAGCAGCGCCGTGCGATTTAATAAATCGCACAAGCGCCCCAGTGCGGATGATGGTGTCCTTGACCCACCCAACTCGCGTCCCGATATCTGACAACATCAAGTTGCAGACATGGGTGGAGCAGGGGAGCCAAGTGATCCTCCTAATGTCGTGGTCGGGGTCAGTGGCGAATCTGCGCGCCGCCACCGTATAGTTACTGGCGGAGTCTGTGCAGAAGCCGATCACGTCCTTTGCAGGAAAGGACAAGATGATGGCCCGCCACCTACGGTACACGATGTCCGCTGTGTCTTGGACCGACCCGTCACGTGCGACGGTGACGTAGAGGAAGTTCACGAGCGGCTTGCCGCTACGCGACTTCCTCCCGTCGGAGAGGATGGTGGCACCACTGTGCCGGAAAGCGACGCACACCTCGCTCACCATCGTCGCCACCTTCGCCCTCTGCGAAGGAATACCAACGCCCGCTGTAACCCCGAACGAGCGAAATCGGAACTGGACACTGCGAGGCACTCTCTCAACCGTCTGCCGCACCCTCTGGAACTCCGGACCACGGAAGGCGTTGAATGGCAACCCCTTCACATAGATCCACTGCAGCCACGCATTTGTGATTTCGGCCAACTTCTCCTTGGCGTACATCTCGTCAATCGTCGTCTGCCGAGCCCTCTTCTCCCTGCCCGTGTCGCGCACCTCGACGTCAGCCTGCCCCACTGTCCTCTTCTCCCTCCTCGCGCGCTCCACCTCAGGTCGCGCTCGACCGACGCCTCTCGATGTCATCACCACCTCCTCCCCTGGCAGGT